TATGTACAGAGTTGGTCCATTCTAAGGTTCCTTTCTACCACTTAGGTCTGCCTATATGAAATCTTGTGAGTCTGTTTAATCTCCTTTTGCCTGTTTTAAAAAGGACCAAATGAACAATCAAGCCCCATGCTCAGTGGAAGCTCCATCATAGGTTTAGATTGTTTAGCTTTAATATTGTGATCTTTGCAAATGAGAAATGTGGAACAAAATCCCTAACTTCTTCTTATTATTATTAATAAAATAATGTGTGACTATGAATGTGCAAATTAGGTAAAAGTTTAAGCATCTGGTTATGTGATCGTTGCTGTCCAGGAAGCAAGTGCATATCTTGTTAAATTCCCTTGGTGCTCCTTGACCTAGAAAATGAACACAACTTGGAAAGAAGAAATTATTTTTGCATATCTCAGTTCATGTGAACATGCTGTTACCCGGCCTATACTTGGCTCTGTAACATGATCTAATCTTGCAAGAATGGAAAGGCAGTTGTGAACTAAGACCTACAATAAACACAAGAATAGTACTGTGCAGTTCACTTCTGAAGGAATACACAAAGGAGCTTCAAATAAAAAGAGGTTTGGATCGACTGGATTTTGTTCAGGAATTTTCATGCAGAATCAGTCACTGACTATGCCGTAGGTTCATATTGAACACTGACGTTTCAATGGGAACAATGGTGGTCTAGACACCTGTAAGAAAGACTTCTAAGGGAAAATACTAATTCTAAATATGTACTGTCATTAAAAAGTGCCAGCTATTTTTTAAAAGTGATCGGTGATTTTGCTCACTGTAGACATGTCCTGAAAAGTGATCGGCTAGGTTACAGAGATTGGCAGGTAATGACATGTTCTCTTGGCTCAGAAGTAACTTTGGAGATGCTAGTCTCAGTGCCATCAATGTGACTGCCAGATGATGCCCCCCGTGCATGTGTTCTCATCTCTGGCTTCAACCAATCAAAGACTAAAAATATTCCAAAGCATCGCCCCTCTCCTGAAAACCTACAGGCTCTGTCCTTGTCTGTGCCCCTAGACAATACCATGTGACACTTTTCACTTTATATTGTGGGGATGCTGTAAGTAATTCAGAGGTGACTTCCAGGTTGTGGGAGGACATTCAATGGCCAGAAAATCACTCTGAATGTCCCTTAGCTTTCTGATGTAGCCCACAAATCACATTTCCTCCAAATTTGTGATAAATCTTGATGAGTCTACAATCAAGACAGGGAGTGAATGAATAGATCTATTTGTGATTATTTTTTATCCAACCAACAGTTGTTCTTAATTGCTACAGTATTTGGCTGTGATATGCATTGCTCATACAGTCTAGAAAACTTCAGTGTGTGTGCACAAGTGTGTGTACATGCATACATGCACGTGTGTATCTCGAACTGGGAATCAAATCGGGTGACTCATGCATGGTAGGCACATACCTATTACTACCCTGCTGCCCTGCACCAAAATTCTAGATAGGAAACCTGGAAACAGAACACCTGCAAAAGGGAAGGAGGAAGAGAGAGGGTGAAGGGAGAGGAAAGGAAGAGGGCAATGCCAGGGTGAAGGCCAGCTGTGTCCATGGACCGCCGTGGTCTCGGATTTTCTGCCTGGTGCTTTTTTCCACCTGATGGGACAAAATCTAAAGCTGTACCTGCATGAGCTGCCATCAGCGTGCCCGATAAGCCCTCTGAATTTCTTCCTGCATCCCTTAGCCCTCTAATTTTCCAGTCAGTAAAAATAAAAAGCCATGATATTGTACAACACTGTCATCTATTCTGGTTCACCTCTCACGCACAGCTAGGTGTCCTGCCAGGGGCAGGGTGCTGTCTTCTCAAAGTGGGCGAGGTGATAGCTCACTGAGGTTTTATTTCCTCTTAGATGTTCAAGCCTCAGGCACAACAATCTCTATTAAATGACATAGTGATACCCAGTCTATAAGTTTGTATTTAGTTAAGTAAATTCCACAAAGAATTAGAAGCAAATTACTTTGGTTGATTGTAACATTCATCAACTTTGTTGGTAAATTTCACTGCCTCTGGTACAGAGCACAGTTTATGAAAGGAAGGATTCCCGTAGCCAAAGGGAAGGATTTATGTATCATCTTCAGCAATGAGACATTATTTCCCACAGCTTCACCACTGTGATTACCCAAGATTAAATAATGCAGACATCTGTTTCAGACAAGTGCAGAAACCAGATACATTTAGCTGTGCCAGAGACAACAAAATTTGCTGTGAAATAGAATTAAAATTTGCTGAAGCCCTTATCACTGCACCGTGGTTCAGGTTTCTATATCGCATACAAAAACATTTCAATAAGAGAAATGGCACTTGGTACAAAGGAAAGAATCTTATTTTTGAAGTTTGAGTTTAAAGAATTCATGGTTTCACTGAAATTTTGCTGAGGAGGCAGAAATCTAAATGCTTTGGGTGCATCAGTGGTCAAAACCAAGACCCTTGTTCTTGTGGAATTTATCTTATCACAATGAAAGATAAAACAGGAAAAATTAAACACAATATGTGAAAAATTTACAACAAGTGGGGAAAGATAAATGTTATGGAAAGAAGTGGGGTGGACCAGGGGAAGGAAGACCAGTGGTGGAGAGTAGAAATCAACAGCTAATTCCCTGCATATTCATGTAATTTGAGTGAAACTCTTGAGAGTTGTGTTATCAAAACTCACGTCACTTTTGCTTACATAAAAGTCATGCTAGCTTTGGGGAGAGAAGGCAGCTGCCTGCCATGCTGGTGACAGATACATCTGCATTAATGAGAAATCTGATCCTTCCCAGTAGTGCAACTTCCAAATCTGTCCAAAATTAGTTGCCGCATTCAGACTTTGAAGATCTCCTGAGATCCAATTTCTATAGCTGAGCCTAATATGCCCGGTCCCCCGCCTCTCCTAGAGACACAGACATTAGTATTATGGTACTAATAGTCTACTCATAGGGATTTTAGATCACCCTCTGGTGCACATGGCTCAGTATATTTTTGCTGATAAATCGTAGCTTAAGGACACATGTTAAATGATATGATTTTGTGTTAGGCATAAAATACTGAGTTTTCTTCTGCAAACTTTGTTTATTCATGTCTGTACTGAAAACTTTTTGGACCTAATTTATACTAGTGACCACTCACTGTCAGTAAATTCCCGTGTTTCTCTTACCTATTGATAAACCAGAGCTTTCAAATTTCAAATTCCCAGTCGCCTGGATTAACTCCTCTCCCCTCTCCCCAGCATGTCTAAGAGTCACGGTGAAGAGTCCCAGTCTATTTTCTGTGGTTGATGCCACAATAGCAGCACGGGGTGAGTTGTAGAGAACAGGTTTATTTCTGCTGACTGAAAGGACAAGATGACACATGTAGCGACCCCCACATTTGTACAGGGCATCACTTAGTGAGAGAAAGGAAGGAGCAGACACCAGACCAACTCCTAATGTCATCTATGGGCTTATTGATTGATTGCATTAGTGGACTGTCCACTCACAGTGGCAGAGCCTCAGTCACCGGGTAAACATCTCCTCTGGTGGGATTTAATTTAGAGAGGACACACTGATTGCCAACCACCTTAAACAAAAGCTTACCTCACTTTCATTCTCTAGAGTCCTAGTTATTTTTGTCACCTTTTCATACGCACACCTATCATTTAAAACACCCTTAAATTAATATTCTGTGCTCCGTGGAACCTGTCCTATTGGGTATCTCGCCTATGCTTGATATTTCTGTTATAAATATCTTCTAGACAGTGGCTTAGCCCTTTTTCTTTTCTTAAATTTGATAGTCCCATTTCTCAATTTTTTTTTTACTCTTGTTCATTTATTTGTATCTTATCTAATTTTTGGCCAGTTTGAGATTATAAAGATTTTTCATCCATGAATTTCTCTAAAACTTCTATAATTTTAGGTTTCCTATCTAGTTTATGAATAATTTCAAATTAAGTTTTGGTACACTGTGATATGAATCAATGTTCTTTTACTAAGTTCACTTGCTAAATACATCTGCAGGACATCTACAAAAGCTCCTAGACTGCCAAGGTTTAGATTTCTGGATTCTTAGATAGCATCCTGTGTCACTCTGTGGCTTGCAAACAATTCTATGCTTATTATGTCATGAGAACTCTCTAATGTTCTTAGAAGGTAAGAAATTAGTTTATGGATTAGAAAATTAACAGGCTAAAGTACTTATTGAAGATATTACACACACAGGGAAGGAAACAAACCTCAAACCTAGGTTATCACATTCTATTTTAGAGCTTTTTAGTTTTCGTATCTCAGAAAGATTCTACTTAATGGCAAATGAGATGCACGAAAATTCTTCAAAAGGTTCCTGAGAAGCCTAAACAGACTGCTCACAGTTCATTAAGGGCTCATGTGTGGTAATGTGTTTCTCCACATGACTCTCACAGAGTTAACTGATCCTAAAAACAAACTTTATGTTGTCCCCCTCAGCTAAAATAGATGTTCCCAACAAAGGCTGAGGGCTTCTTTGTGCGAGTCCTGCCTGGTCCTCCTTCCCTGCCTTCCACAGCCTCCCCCACCCTGCACATCAGCCTGGCTGCCTTGGGGCATTCACCCATCCACTGTCACCCCCAGAGGTCCCTAGGTCTGCTAGTGTCATTAGCAACCTCCCCTCTTTTGAACAAAGGAGATTTCATCTGAGCACCAAGGTAAATGAGGTGCTAGAGAGAAGCTTGGAACAGGTTTTGAAACAGATCTTGAAACAAAAGCTTACCACCTAGAATTTTCTTCTCTCATCATTTATTCAAATTGGATATATGAGGAGAACTCAGAGAATGTGAGAGATTTAAAGACTGTACAAACTGGTGACAATCTCCTTGGGCTGCAAAGCCAGGAGATGGTTATGCTAAAGTTATGTTTGAATGCAATAACATTTTTTGACAACATACATTAGAGGTGTCTGGCAGTGACTTACATGTGAGAAACTGATAGGCTGTTAATCTGTAAACAGATTTGATGAATCACTTGGTAACATCCCCTTCTTTTCATTACAGGAGCAGGTGAATCTGGAAAAAGTACCATCGTTAAGCAAATGAAGTAGGTACTGAATTACTTCAAATGTTTTCATGTTTGATGTCTGCCCATGATTTCCACTATTCTTTTATTTTTATTTTTTTAAATTTTATTTAAGGAGAAAAAAAAACAGAGAAAGGGTACAAGTTATATAGATTTACAGAAAAAAATAAACAGTAGGAAATCACTAGTTAATGGATTACATATTGTCATCTTAGAAATAATTGTTCAAGTCACAAAATTAAAGCTTGTAAAGTGGACATTCCATCAATGATACTGCAAACAGTTCTGTTCAATGATCCAATAAAACTCAGTGATACCATTTTCTATCTTATACACTTAAATATACATGCAGTTATAGCATTTAGAGCACTTTCTTTTCCTCTCTTTTGTACAGTGACTATTACACATTTTGGGTTTTATTGCTCCCACGATTCTTATTACTTTTTTGGAAGAGAGTAAAACCAAATGTGACATAACAGAACAGAGTCGGTCAAATCAAAAGGGTGGACATAATAGATAATGTAAAAACATAATACAAGGTGATCAACAATGGTTACCATAATGCCTCCCACTATCTCTAATAGAATTGCCTTTATCATCAGTTATAATAAAATTGAACAAAACAGTAAAGAACAAAACCGACAAAATCAAAACATTGGAGACATTGCAGGTCTTCAAAAGTAGATAAAAGTCAACGAGAATGGGCGTCATAATGAATCTCACTATCTTCACAGCTGTTGCCTACACTTTCAAACCTGGTACTATCCAGCAAAGCTTTGACAAATGCTGATGGTGGTCTCTTGTAAACCACAGGGAGGGACGAGTCACCACAACTGCTAGGCAAACAGCTCGTCTCTCCTGTGTCTCTGTATCCCTTCTCTTCTGTAAATGGTAAACAAATCTGTAATTCCTGTTTTTCTTTTAAATTTTGTTTCTCAGCATGGTAAATACTAAGAGCAGCTCTGTTTTAATTTTACTCATCTGGGAATGTTCTAGAGCTGCTTTAATATTGTGGGCATAAGCTATACATATGCTTATCAATGACTCATTTGTGTTTTTGAGTAAACAACATATTTCCCCCAAAACCTTAAATAAGAAAAATAGTCAAGACAGGTAACTGTGTCACAGCAACTAGGAATTTGTAATCAGTCCACTTGTGATTGGTCCCTAAAGGGTTAAGTGTTCCTTACAAGCCACATCTCACACTAAGATCTATCAGTATGAAAGTAGCACAAAATCTGTGAGTGAGAGTTAAGCAAGAGAGTGAGCTCTAGGTGAACAAATGGTAGACTTTATGGAAGATTTTGTTTGGCCTGGAAACTAATCCTAAGATACACCTGTACCCCCCGCCCTCTCTCTCCCTCTCTCTCTCCCTCTCTCTCTCTCTCTCTCTATCTCTATCTCTGTCTCTATCATCACTAACATCTCTAGCTCTACATTTCTTTCACAATAGTCTTCTAAAGCCTATCCTAGAAGCACTATGGAATATTTTTTAAAATAACTTCTGTTAGGTTTTGGAGATTGGTTTTGGAGATTGGATCTATTGGTTTTGGAGATCCTTGTCAGGAAGTTATCTCCAAGTTGTTAAGTTGTGAAGATAACAAAACTTTGATTCATAATTTATTGTAATGTACTTAATGTTTTCAGCAACCACTACACAAAATGAAATATTTTAAATAACCAATTTCAAAATGTTCTTGCCCCAGCATAATTTTTTTTCTAAAAATAGCTATTCACAGGTGCTGGTCATCTGATTTTCATAATTTTGCATTTTGTCACTCAGCAAAGATCTAAATTATTTTTTAGGAAGAAGATCAGCGCTGGGCTTTGTCCCCGGGTGTCTGTGTTACTGTCGTCTGTGCAGTCCCTCCCTCCCCGCCTTCCTCCTCTCTCCCTGATCTTTCTCCTCCTCCTTGGCCGCCTGGCCGCACCCCATGGGCCGGCACACCTTGTCCCTTGATGTCTGAGGATACAGGGGCTTTGCGGCCAGCCACAGCCTCAGCTCACCTTGTGCACAGGTCACAGGAAAGCGTTGGGATCGAACTCTGCATTGGACAGTAATAAACTTCCATGATGTAAGATTATAAAAATGCTATTTTAACTTCTTGTCATTTTGCCCATATGGAAATGAGATACATATTCAAAATCACCACTATTATGGATTTCAATGTGTTTTTTGCATTTATTTTCCCTACTCTTTTCTTTATAGTTAAATAACTAGGCCTGGATTTCTTACTAGTAAATAATGAACGCAAAATAATGAACGCAAAACTTGTCTAAACTAAAAAATGCGATGTATAACTAATAAGATGGGGATGGAAAAAAGTGAACTGGTCAGACCTATGGTTCACTCAGTGAATTTTAAAGGACGTTCATTTCTATCAGTGGAGGGGGAGGAAGAGGAGTCCCCCGAGGCGCCTTCTAAATGACATCTTAAAGGAGCTTATTCCTTCATATATATGTCCAGGGACGATATCACTCAGTGGTGAGACTGTCTGGTGACCACAGCACTATTGTTTCCTCCATGTTACAATTTCATGTAGATTGCAGCGTGTTTAAGTCTAGTTTCCAATGGCCCATTCAGCTGACCCTCAGGGCAGCTTGTGCTTCCCGTCTCTGGAAGGAATACCCTCCGTCAGTCAGTCACCCTGCTCCCTGGCCGTCACCCCCGAGGCCCTCAGGTCCACCTCGCATGCACGGTGGTCACTAGCTGTGCTCAGCAGCTCTTCTGGTTCAGGCCTTTGACACACTTAAACTCATCTCTTCCACTTTATCTTTCGTTTTTTCTTTTTTCTTTCTTTTTTTTTTTTTTTTTTTTTTTTTTGAACTTAAGGAGTTTTTTTTTTTAAAAAAATCCCCAATTATTTGCCTATTAAAAAATACAAAGTTTTAAATCCTATTAAACCAATATTATAGTTAAATCAAAAAAGAGAAGAACCGGGCTGGGATAGGGCCCTGCAATAAATACGCTGGATACATAGCCAGCTGCCTTACTGTAAGGAGACCTCAGTTAGTCAGTAAAGCCACAGGCCACTCAGAACACAGGGAGGGGAGAGACTGGACAGACCGTCCACAGAGCTGAAGGATCTAAGTCTCAAGCACAAGACAGGCAGTTCAGCTCAAGTTCACTCATTAAAAAACCAGAATTTAAACAATATTTAAAATGAAAAATTTCCATCTTCACAAATCAGCAAACAATAATTCTAAAATAAACCAGTAAAGGTGAAGGGTTAAGAAACCAGTATTTCTCACCACTCTTTGTAAAACTGCACATTAACAGCAAAGTGTCAGAAATGTTTATTTCAAAATATGCAGAAAAACTGAGAAATTTTATCTGCTAACATCTTAATTATACTTCTGAATAGTTCAAGAATATTTTAAAACACGGTAAAGCATGAACATAAAATAACTTATACATGCGAAGTAAGAAAACACATGTGCACAAATATTGCATATAGATCAACATTCAGAAGGCTCAGTCTCCAAGGTCACAAGAGCAAACAAAAAATAATAGCAGGAAGCAACAAAAATATACTGCATGGTAAAGATGCAGAAAGACTGTCGTCAACCCATTAGTGCACACGGGTTGCAGCCTTCCGTGGGTGAATCTCGGTGACACACTTGCCCCACGACCATCAGCACGGCCGTGAATCCTGGCTGAATGGGAGGAAGGAAGGGCAGGTCAGCCAAGCGGAGCACGGGCTGTGTGGCCAGAGGACTGGGCGGCACGTACACCCAGGGGGAGGGCAGGGGCCAGGGTGTAGCTAAGGGCCACTACCTGCCCCAGGAAGAAAGCCTTTGTCTTAGCCGTAAATAGAAAGCAGACACTCCTACTTCCCAGTTTGTCTCAAGTGAGAGGAGAGTCACAGACGCCACTAAATAACTGGGCTTCCTCTCCAGGTCCTGCTGCGATCACACCCCCAAGCTTCTGACCTCTGCCTGCACCTCTGCCCTAGAAATCCGGTAATTTTCCTTCAGGAGAGGAAAGCACATTCTAAATAAAATCCTCATTACCCAGTTTCAAGAAAACATTTTAATATAGAGCAAATCCTGAATCCTCTTCACTCTGAGCATGAGCAACCCCCTCCCCTTACACAAAGGAAGTATTGTCTTCCAGGAAAAAGATAATAAAAATGCAAAAGCATAAAAATGGCTCTGATTTAGCAAGTAATTTCCTTCCTAATGAAGACACATGTGGCTGCATTCCAGTAATAGATTAGTAACATGCTTTAGGGTTACCATCAGTTATTCAACTTGCAAAAGCTGTTGGTGTTTACGTGACAGGATCATCCACAAGAATGGCTACAGCGAGCAGGAATGCTTGGAGTTCAAAGCTGTGGTCTACAGTAACACACTGCAGTCCATCCTCACCATCGTGAAAGCCATGGCCCTGCTCGGGATTGATTATGTGAACCCCAGAAGTGCCGTAAGTACGGAGCCAATGACATGCATGGTTCCCCAGGAATTTGAGCCACAAAATCGTAAGAACTAATGTTTGTCTTTCAAATCAGTATCAAAAATTTAAGATCATGAAATGATCATTCTAAGGTATTGTCTGTTTAAGGTTTCTCATTTTCCTGTTTGTCACTGTGCATTATAAGCTTATTCAACTTTAACTGCTTTCTTAGGGATCAAACGTAGCATTAAACACAATGCCAGACCCAGGAAGGTGAGTGCGTGTGGTGGCTGAGTGTGAAGGATTCACTAGAACCTGTCCTCTCTTCATCTACTTAGTTTAAGAGACTTTAAAAACTTTTAGTCACACCACAATGGCCATTAAGGTTTAATGTTAATTACAAAAAGTACATGGCAACAGGGAAATGCCCAATTAACACTCTTTAATATTTAGAAAGGAATTCAAAAATACGGAAATGAAATGTTTGCACTCCGAGTACACTCAACTAGTCACAGTTTCGTTTATAAGGTTATTAAGTAATTTTACTTTTCTCTATATTATGCAAGTAGTTCATATTATATGATACAACCTCTTGTTTTATGACATTTGCACACAAACACATGAAAAACTGCTTTTGTTGGTAAGTGAAATGTATTTTATTATCCCGAGAACAGTAGCTGACCTCCATCATGAAATGGTTAACTGAGTACCATCCATTGGTCGTCATCAATCCATGGTCCCTCTAAGAGCTTCCTGCAGGGGCTACTGACTGACTGACTGATCCCGGTGTAACCTTGGTCTAAGAGTGGTGACAGTGGAAAGGTATGGCACAGTAAGGATGGAGGAGGGGCTACACTGGGCCCCACACACACTGCCAGGGCTCCCTTGTGCGAGCAGACCACGTGAACAGCTGCTGGAAGTCATCAGGATGGAAGGAAGCACATTTTTCCTTCCTGCCTTTCCTTCTGGGTTTTGATTCATCCATGTATATGGGCCATAGTGACTGCGTCCTCCTGGGGAGCTGGCTAGCGTACAGAACACACCCTCCCCTCTTCTCCCGTCTTCCTCCTACAGGAAAGTCCCATTTTGTTCCCATCATTTTTCTCCAAAACTCAGGGGAAGGCTCTCAGACCGATGGCAAAGCCTCCAGCCAAGGGCTCTGCCGACTTCCACCCCTGGCTTCCCCACAGCTCGGCTCCAGTAACCCCCGGCTCGTCCAGCTCTAATTTCCTTCCATGTGGATAAGTGGAGGTTGCAGCAGTTAAGAGTCCTGATCCTCCCTCCTTTATCATCCTGTGACCTAGACGTCATGTGCTATTGAAGGGTAGTTCAGTTCTGCCTGACTCTGGATTTTTCTAAGAACCTAGAATTTTAAACGGCCTTTCGGAGGCACCCTAGAATAATAGCTCTAGTTCAAGGATGGAATAATAAAGCCCAAAGAGAAGTAACTAGTTTCCTTCAAGCAGCTAAGGTTTAGAGAAACCTCCTGGCATCCATTTCAGGGCTTTTCAGCATGCAAACATTTTTTTAATGCTTTAAGTGACTGGAAATATTTATTTTTTTCCTCACAGTCAATAATAGTGACTAATGTAGTGAACATTACAAACTCCCTTGAGAATGATTTCATGATGTTCAAATTTGCTTGTGTAACATTCCATGCTTTGGGGTCAGGAAGCCTGGAAATCACAACCTTGCCTGTTGACACTGTTTAAAACACGTGTGCTTCCTACAACCCAGTCAGCGAGGCAGAACTCCCCAAAGACCAGAAGTCTGCTGGTCAAGAGTTTTAAATACCTGAGTCTACACATTGTCACGACTGCACTGACTAAAAATAAAAACGAGTCCAGCTTATTCCAACTCTGTGCTCAATGCATGGAACCAGCCCTATGCACCTGTCAGGAGGTCTCCTGTCCCCCAGTAGCATCTGGCGCCACTCTGCCCACTTAGATTTGTAACTGATGTCAACTGAGAGTTTTGTCATATCTTAGAAGTCTGGATGACTACCTTTTTATAGAGTTGCAACAGATAAACTGACAGATGAGCTGCTATTTCCTGTATCTACCTAAATGAACACAAGGTAAACAGAACTCCAATCAGAAGTTTCAGAGTTCTGATCAGATTTTTGTTTATACAAATTTATATATTTTGCATAAACATCTGGATATCATCACACACATTTAAAGAAGGTTCTAAGAGGAGAAATTTTAAGTCACTAGTTTGTAAGTTTAGACAAATTAGTTAATCTAAATTTTAGTTCAATCACAAAATGTTAGTACTTTTCTCGCTAAATTACAAAGCATAAATAATTCACCATGCAGACTATTGCAGGCTGTAACCCCCCAGTAAATATTAGGTATCATTTCAGTAATTATTTCCATTGCACACGTACTGAATTCTACACAGAGAACAGCGTTTGAAAATCAAAACAGACACGTGGGTGCATCCTGGAGCTGCATGGCTACTCAGCAGTAATTGAGACTAAAATACAGTTTGTCCTCCAGACAGTAAAGCACAGTGGTGCACCAGTAATGACAAAGCCTCTGCTTATTCAAACGTGCTGCACAGCACTAAGCTGACACGGAAAAGAACAGATAAGCTTGGTTCTGGAAGTGTCACGCACGCAAGTTCTGTGAGAGTTTCACGCACGTAAGCAAACATACCCTTGAGCTCACAGTGGCTTCTGGCTTGAGAGCTCATGATGTTGGCGACATTAGGCCCTGGCTGTGCCTGACCCTGAGGCAGTGCATGCTCTGAACAGTCCAACACTTAGGACAAGACTAGTGAGGAAAACAATTGCTAAGTAATGGTGCTTTCCAGAAAGAAAAAAACCAAACCTCCAACCTTTTCTGCTTACTTGAGAAGAGCAGAGAACTTCAGAGAAAGAGACTGGATAGTTCAAGGAATAGCACAATTGTTTGGATTGCAGAATTCCAGTGAAGGGGTCCAAACGGACATCATCCAAGCTGAAAAGTCTGGAGAGTTCCAAAAAGGAGACTAGGGAAAGGAATCCACTGCATTTAGCAACACAGATCCTCTGGGATGTACTGAGAGAGGTCAGGAGGGCGGCGGGCTCAGAGCCCACTGGTGTGGGTGCAGGGCTGGGAACAGTGCTGAAGTGCCATTGTGGAGGGGCAGGATCTGCGGTGGAGGCAGCCAGCTAAAGGGGCTGTTCTTGTTCGGGATTAGTGTTCCATAGGCTGGTTTCACAAACCTGTGAAGAGGAAAAAAGCTGAAGAAACGAGAAGGGGGAATGATGATGACATTTTTAGTCACTGTTTTGTTTTGGTTTGGTTTTATGAGACACGGTCTCGCTGTGTAGTTTAGGCTGACCTCGAACTCACTGTGCAGTCCAGACTGACTTCCAGCTCATAGGTATTCTCCTGCCTCAGCTTCCTGAGTCCTGGATTGCAGGCCTGTGCCAGCATCCCAGCGTCCTTTAGTAAATCTCTACTTATTCTTTCTGAATATTATCATAATCTTTTTTAGACCATGTAAATCATACACTAGACTGACAAAGAAGGATGCTGAAGACTTTAACATCTGTATTACATCAGTTGCTTTGTGATCATTTTTAAAGTAGCATTCTACAAAATGAATACTGTAGCACTAACCACCAAGCACAGGCTCCCCAAGAAGTTGTGCTCTTCAGGTTCTGTGATGGAATAAGTTGGGGTTCCACACATATGATAACAATTTAGAAATCTGCACCCAGCACGGTACGCAAGGACTGACCATCTAGTGGCAACAAAGCCATGGCCTTTTAAACCCAGCATTTCTCAAAAGAATCCCTAGGCAGCATCTCCCTTCCTTTGATATTTTCTTCTGAGATGCTTGAAAATCTGTCTCTGGGGTTCGGAATTCATTCCACATGGCCCCGACACCATGTGAGGTGAGCAGTGTTGATGCAGAAGTTCTGGGTTAACTCTAGAGAAAATGACTCTTTCATTTCCACACAGTCTCATTCTAGCTCTGCACAATCCTAAATGAACGGGCCAAGCCAAACCGCCATGACCCTGAGCTTTTCCAAATCTGTCACAGGGAAATCAAATTTCATCGGTGGGACGTAACTCACCACTCAGGATGTGCTTTAGAAACTTCGGTAGATTTTGGAAACTCCTTCCCATTTCCCTAGAACATGAGCTGTGAGGAATGAGTGTGACGTCTGTATCCGGATTATTTGATTCTTTCCATTATGAATCTCACGAATGTAGAAATGAGCAGTCTACCTTCAGTGCCCATGGCTCCGGAGGTATAAATGAGGAAAAATACACATCGCTGACCATGGTGGGGAAAACAGGGGCCTGGAAAGGTTAGAAAGCAGTGAGCAATGGAAGAAAGAATGGCCAGATGGAGAGGATCCCGGCCCAGCAGGCTGTGGACCATGGCACGGTGTGGACGGAGCAGCCACTCCAAGGTGTGACCAGGACACAGGAGGCCACGGGGCAGTGAGGCTGCTCAGGCAAAGGAGCCAGCAGAGACGGGGGACCCCGGAGGACAGTGAGTGAGGTCGGAGGGCAGCAGGGCATCAGGAAGTACAGAGCCTCAAGTTCTCGTAAAAGGCTCAGATTTTCCTTTGAGTTGGATGTGAGAGGACCAGGATTGGTAAAATATGGGAGTAAAATGTCCTGTAGTTCTGCTTGCGGTTTGACTGTCATGCGGAGGACAGTGTTCACTTTAGCTGTTCATGTTGGTGATACGGATTTTAAAATTCCTGTGACTGGTGGGCCCGCGCCCTTACGGACACAAACAGCAGGTCCTCAGATCACAATGGCCCTCCGACAAGCGCCTGAGACTGTCAGATCGCAGTGAGCTGTGTCCCAGAAAATACTCTTTATGGTTTAAAAAGAAACAAAGGTGGCAAATGCCTGTGGTCACCTATGCACACAAGGATTTTAAAAAGGAAGAGGTCTAGGAAGACAAAAATCATGCTGGCAGGATGGTTTTCCTGAAGGGGAGAGGACAGACGAGGAGGTGGCCAGGAGGGCTCCACCAGGCAGACACTGCCAGCCACCTCCACTCGCTAGACCCACATCGAGAAAGCATGTGTGTCCTGGAGATGGCATCTCTTTAAAAAAGGACAGCGTGCAGCTCCTGGCAAGCTGTGGAGTTCCTCCCTCGCAGGGACAGCACAGTGCCGGTGGCCACCTTCTTACCTCCTTAGTCCTGGACGGCACTTGAGAGTAGACAGGGCCAGGAGGCGGGCGGATGCAGGGGAGCACGTCCAGTCTCACCAGAAGTGCAGTCCTGTCTTCGTCTACCTAGCAGGGAAGGAGGGATTTAAATTTTACCCTGCGTGGATGCAAGACCAGGGGGACAAGCCTTGCTTTTGGAAGTGTTACAGTTGGCTCAATGATCTTCAGATCAGTTTGATTTTAAGGAAAATAAACTCCTGATTTTGAGATAAGGGATTTTATCATACTAAAGTCATTAACAACAGACACACATATGCCCTTTAAAGCAAAGAACAGTTTTCACAAAAGCAGCAAAATAAATCTATAGTCAGTTTAAAGTAATAAATTGAATTATATCAGAAAAGCAGCAGATTCTTACAAAACAGGCATTTTTTCCTTGCAGTGTGAGTGCACAAACCGTGTTCAGATTTGACTTTCCTCTGGTGCTTACCCTACTGGCTGGGACATTAACCTTAGAGACTTAGACCTCCCCATATGGGAATGAGGAGCACACAGAATTCGCTTCACCGTTACAGTGCGGGCAGTCATGGGGGCAGGGTGTGTGCTGTCCCATCAGGTGCTCTAGTGGTCACTGACAAGGTCATGATAGGACGGGAGTTTGGCATCTGTTTGCTGGACGTGACCTCCAAGGACGCCAGTCATGATCAGCTTAACCACCCAGAAACTCAAATTTGTAGTCTTTGAAAAACCAAAATGTTTTTATCATAATCTTTGGATTTTTTACCCAAAATAAGTTGTGGACTACTAGAAGTTGTGCAAACCGAGTGTATTTACTCAGCAAACTTCCCTATCGTGTTCCTCCGGATAACCTCCAAATATTGTACTAACAAAGCTAATATAATCCTTCTTTTTCTTTTTTGTTCCCTAATCTCATCTCTGACCTACTGATTTGCTCCAAAAGCAGCAGTCAATACCTACAGGGATGTTCAAGAAATCTATGGTTCTGCATATTTACCACGGCTTACTTACATGATTATAAAAAGTACCAGACATCAAATAAAATTGTATATGTATTTTTAATCTAAATTTACTACAGTGGATTTGTTTCCCATTTTGCTCTTATTCTTACAAGGCTCTTTTTTGTTTAAAAAAAATATGGCCCTACAGAAGCACGATTCCTAACCGTCAAATCTGGGAAACAACCTATGTGTTCATCAAGAAGGTTAGATAAAGAAAATGTGGCTTTCACATACAGTGGATCAGCACTATGCTATATAGAAGGACACATCTGAGTCATTTGCAGGAAGACGGAGGCGCCTTGAGTCTACATCCTTACTTGAAATAAGTCAGACACACAAGCTGAAATACCGCGTTTCTCTTCTCTGAGAAACTCAGAGTAGACAGAGCAAAATAACAGATCAATAGTAGGAAATAGGGAAAGCGACCCTGCTCAAAAGAGAAGGAATCAGGAGACAGAAGAGGGGAGGAGGGAAGGGGAGGGGAGGAAGAGAGGAATTCAGATGCGCTGCATACACGGACCGACTGCACGGAAGGAGTTTAAACATGAGATACGGCAAAGAAGTACAGGGAAGAAAGTTAAGAGGAGGAAGAGATGGCAGCGGAGAGGGGATGCACAGGGAGGGACTGAGGTGTATCACGTATGTGTCCCAAGTCCCCACACAGAGTGCAAACGTTATGTAATACAAACATGTGTTGGTAACATAAAAATGTATGTGACTATTGCCCAAGGGAGACAAAAGGCCAGCTGGCTCGGTTTCCTTATTCCTGGGGCTCAACAGTCCAACTCTCTGCAGCTCAACCGATCTGTGCCCAGGCATTGTCCTTTCTGACATCGCATTGAGAAGTCAGGGGTATCGACCTGGATACCTTAATTTCTCCATGTGACACTTTGTAGCTTTTGCAAAAGGCAAACTTTAAGGAATCTAAGTTCTATTGATCTTCATGTGTTTTGAAAACACATCCCGTGGAACCGTTAGCAAAAAGAATAGCAAAATTGATCAGGTTAACATATTGGAATGAAAACAATGTAGGATGTGATTCCCAGTAACACGCCTTTGCCCTCCTCACCAACCACGGCCCCAGGAGGACCAGCGGCAGCTCTGCACCATGGCAGACACCCTGGAGGACGGGGTCATGACGCCTCAGCTGGCCGACGTGATCAAACGACTGTGGCAAGACCCGGGGATTCAGGCCTGCTTCGAAAGGGCATCTGAATACCAGCTCACCGACTCGGCCGCTTAGTAAGTGACTCAGCGGATTGCAGGGAAACAGGGGTTGTGAAGAACTGAAATTCTGCATTGTATACACTTGTGACTATCAAGGAGGGTGGTGGATGACATTATGGAGAAGTAAAAGTGAACAAGGTGGCCTAAATTACAGAAATTATCAAATATTTAAAATGACCGATTATAAAACGATTTGCCCTACATGATTGCTATGTGGTGCACACCTTCTCTTGATGAGAAAGAATTAAGTATTATACACAGGGCTCAACATTAACATGAGACAGGCCATGTGCATACTGAGGTGTGAGGTTCTTTATTTCATCTGTGTTAATGTTACTGAAGTTATCTCTTAGAATAAGTTCATTAGCAACACATGCTTTAACTCAGTGGGTTGATGAACAAGATAGGCAATTCCGGAAGAAAATAATTATTAATTTGTAAAACAATTGCATGTTGTAGGATTGTTTGAAAGTGTGGAGAAAGATGGTACAGTTCTCACAGCTAGTATCACCTAGGAAGCATTTATTAGCCAAAAGGAGTGGTTTATAAGGAGGGTGACATCACTTATAATTTTTTTATCAACATGACTTAAAATTTTCTTTTAGTAAGTCATCCTTAACCTACCCCATTAGTATATCCCTGCAAGCTCCTAGGCACACGACAAAACTGTTATCTAAGTAGTCATTTCATGTTCTGGTCTTTGTATATGAATGTATCAAAAGTATAAATATAATCCTTTGATAAGCTCCCAGCAAAATACGCTAGCAGTACTTAATTAAGCAAACAAAATGAAAATACCAACGAGTAACCTAGAAGTCAAGCACAGAAAGGATAACTTAAGGTCAGAGCAGCAAAGCTTGCAAGGTACTTCAGATGCTGAATCAGTGATGGGCAGAATGATTCTGAAAGAAAGCAAATGATATTCCCTCTCAGGGAAAAAGCTCTCTTCCATGAGTCATGATTCGCTATCCGCTGGTGCCCTGAATTCCGGTGGGCACATGGCCTTGAGGGGACAGTGCTAGGTGGGCATTATTTTGCAATTTCATAAACTTAACTGCTTAACAGCTTTCCAGGGTGTCTCCATGTCTGCTGAATTTTAGTAGTAGAGGGATCTCTCCCTGTAGGGTGCTACCACTCCATGCTCCTGCACTCATCACCAGTAAAGCCACCTCAGTGATGTCAAGCTAGCTCATGAATAGTCCCATCTTTAAAAAGTCCCAGCACAGAGCAGGGAGGAGACAGGTCCGGGTGAGCTACAATTAACTACTTAGCTTTGGGTACATGACATTGATTCGCTATAGTTTTCTCTTAGGATATTAAAAGAAATGAACCTGAAGTTGTGTTCACAAACTTATTCATTCTCTAATAGCAAAAAGCTATCTGCAGCTTACGTAGTTAAAACTGCCAAACAAATGCCATTTTATTATAGCTTTTAAGTCGTTCATTTGCTTCCATCAAATGATTTTTTTTGACATAGTCACAGAATTACAGTATTTATCTGTACCTCAGGTTAAATCAGTGAAACTTCAGTTTGCATTGATTTTATGAATGTTGCCCATATTGTGATAGCTGCTGGCCATGCAAAAAAATCTGCACAGCTGTAAAATACAGGAGGGCTGATTCCCACCTCCAGGGAGAATCTGAGAAACACTTTACAGATACACCAAAAGAATAAAAGACTAACTTTTCTTCTGCTTAGAAGCCTCCTTATAGCAAGTGTTATAGAAGCTTGCTAAGGAAAACTGTTGAATGGAACTTGCTTTCTCCCATAAACCAAGAGCAGATTCTGTTCTAAAAAACATACTGAATTACATTTATATTGTAAACCTAAATATAATATTAGATTGGCAGTATATTGCATGGGTATTTCGTCTGCATTATATAGGAAAGATCTCTAGCATTGGTTTCTTTATACTTATGCATTTATTTATCTATTTATTTATTTATGGAAGTAAAGTCTTTGTTGTTTGATCTAGAGGTGCTTCAGGCAAATATAAGGAGTCCTCCAGCGCAAGCAAAGAGAGTGGGCTGTCAAGGATTGGCGGCGGAAAGAATTAGTTAAGATTGTAGGTTTGCTGGGCGAGGTCATATAGTGTGCCACGGAAATTCCACAGGCGTTAGCAATGAACATGGACTTTTATCAGGTGAAATTCTCTTTATACAATTGGAAAAAGAATCAATTATTTTTAAGTGAATTAAACCATATATATTAATGGTCTCTGGTCTGAGTTTGAACTACAGTCTTGAACACACAAATGTGATATTTGTTTATTAAAATATACATTTTGAATGCTTCTGCTTTGCCTGAAATCATTTGAACACACAAATAAAAATTCATCAAAATGTACCTTTACCAAACTTTCATTTGCCTATCACTAAAATGAATTTCATTTCCATTTTGATAGGCAAGTTTATTTATTTTTTACTCAGGCATGAATTTACTGGCCAGTAATACACCCTATGGTGTATGCAGACTTAAGTCAATAAAAAATTTAGAGATTTGCCTCCTCAAACAGAAAATAAATTTTAAACACTAGCAAAACTGTGGCCAATACATTTCCTGATACATTTCAATCTTAATGTGCCATTCTTTTTTAAATGTGCCACATTCTTTTTTAGAATAAAACAGTGGTGATACTTTATTTTTACCTTGTAACATTTCTAAGATGTGATTTACTCTGTTTTTGTTTATTATTTTGTTCTTGATGAAAATCTGTATGGACTACTTTCCATTCTTAGCTTGTTTCAGGTTAAAAGTGAAAAGATCTTTGAAGAATGGATCACCATATTGCTTTTCAATTTATTTTTTAAGGATAAAATAACTTTTTTTTTAAAGGCATTATTCTAGATGATACCGTAAGTAGTCCCTCAACTTAAATTCTGGGGAAAATAATCAGCTTTTGAGCTGTAACTACTCTTTTGCTGACTCTCCAATTATGCCCTAATTTATTGTTCTTTAAATTATGGAATGTAATGGTCAAGTTGTCCTAAGCCTTTAAAATGCTACTGCTCTTCATATTTAAAAATTTTTAAAAGAAACACCCCTATCATTAGGCTACTAAAACTTTAGTGTCAAAAGTCTAGAAGAGCAGTGTTCAAAGGAAATTCGGGAATGACACACTCGGGTTTTGGTTGATAGACATATTGGTTTCAGGGATCAAGAATCCAAGAGTAGTTTTCCTTCCCCTGATCTAACAGACTTTCCTAGAGAACACAGCTTACTCGGGCATAGTCCTGCTCAGAGGTCCTAGACCCCGGGGGACAAGAGCTTCAGTGTACAGCCTGATAAGCGGGGAAAGCGCCCTGTCTCAGCCTGAGACGTCCAGAGCAAAGGGAGGATGGACGCAGTGTTTTCAGAGAGGGGAGAGGAGGGCTGCAGGCCACAGGATGAGAGGCAGGGTGCTTCTCTTACTGAGCTGCCTGGATGTGAGCGTGGTCCCTAGTCCTAAATTATGAGACTACTGCAAACATAGCAACTTTCAGAATTTGATTTTTAAGCCAATCACCCTCTCTAATTCTGACAGGGCTAAATTAAAATGACAGAATGCTGAGGACATGCAGCGACCCTTGCCATGGACACAACCAGAGTGTCCATGTGCATATGCACATGGGCCCTGGACATATGGGACCTATGTTTCAGTTTCCACATGTGTGCAGTGTGCAAGCACAGGCGCCACACCTGCCTCCAGCACGCTGCCACAGGCTGGGCTGAGCCCAGCCTGTGCCTGCCTACAGCAAGATCCCAGCTCCGCAGCGCTCACCGAGCTGAGAGAGGTGCACCGCACTGGGCTGGAGTGCATCTCTCTGAATGGTCTCTAATCTACAAGTTCATTCTTACTGCTGTCTTCCAAGGCACAGTTAAATACCTGTCTTCTTCCTGTTTTCATTAGCTACCTTAATGATTTAGACAGAATCTCAGCCCCCGGATACGTGCCCAACGAGCAAGATGTTCTGCACTCTCGAGTGAAGACCACGGGGATCATCGAGACCCAGTTCTCCTTCAAAGACCTGCACTTCAGGTAGGGGCGCAGCGCGGCTTCTGGTCGACCACGGGCAGCCCTGCCTGGCTCCTGAAGCCTGGTTAGCATCCGGTGCCTCTGCTGCCCATGTAGTGGTCTTGCCCCCCACCACCTGAGGGGGGAACCCACCTGCCCCGTCCTGCCAGGCCGACCTGGGTCTGTCTGGAGCAAGTGAGGGCTGGTTTTACCTTCTTCATCTTTAACACTGACATTGAACTCTGGCTTTTAAAACAAGAAAGAGAAATATTTAAATAACACAAAGCAACAGGAGCCAGGGATCTTGTTTCCTTGCCTTCTGCTTCCCTATTTGTTTGAAATGTTTGTATTGACTTTGTTTATCTAATTTTAAAAAATTCAAATAATTAAAAGGAAAGTGATTTGAATATGAGGCTGTTACTTACTGGAATAACCAGGCGTATTTTGTAGATATGTTTTGGGTATGAGAATCAATCATTATTTTTCTTGCTGTTGCATTCTGAAACGTCCCTAAATTTTACTGCAAAATTGCCGAGATGCTGATGAAATGGAAGCCCGTAATGCAGTGTTAGAAAATATCATCTGATCTTTAATCTCTCTTTATGGATTGTGAGTAAAGTGGCATATTAGCCATTATGAAAAAGTCTATCTATGTCCTTCCAGAATGAAACAAATCAATAAGATCACTTATGGATCTAATAATGGAAAGTTCGTTTTAATCTTTTTGATACAGGGTCTCATTATGCAGTTCAGGCTGGCTTTGAACTCATTTGTAGCCTAGGCTGGTCTCGAATTTGCAACAATCTTATTGTCTCAGCCTTTCCAGTGCTGAGACTACAGGCGTACATCACCACGCCCACCTGGAAACATTTTTAAAGAGTAGAAAATCTGGAGAAAAAGCTGCCAAGAATTCTTTATGGCCATTTGCAAGAGGAGTGTAAGAGATAGGTAATTGGTATAAAATGTATTTCAGTGAGATAAAAGTTTTGAAAATTTTTAAAGAATGAAAACTGGTCTAATTAGTCTAATTAGTTTAGCTAAGATGTTTTCAGCTGATCTCAAGGAAATCTCCTCAGAATTCACACTCAGTTTCAGGCCCACAGACACTAACTTTCTGAAAGATAAGCCAAAGGTCAAAGGGATTGCACAGGCACAGCTGAGCCCAGCACCCTCTCTTAGCACTGCAACAGAAGGACACAGCAGAGCTGGGTGTGTAACACACGACTGCAACCCGGGCAGCAGGGAGGCTGAGGCAGGAGGGTGGCTGTCAGTATGAGGCCAGCCTGGATCCCATGGGGAGGCCCTGTTTCAAAAAACCAAAAACACAAAGAGAAGAAGAAGGAGAAGTGAAGGAGTCCTGCTGAAACAGGCCTGGGCCCGCCCATTGCCTAGTTCCCTTTGGTAACAACTTTCTCCAGATGGCTGCTCTTTGACCCACTTGCCCAAGTTTTCCTGTGGGAGCCCATGTCCGATGGCGCCTCCCCTCTGTCCACCCTAACCCTGCCATGTACATTCCATTTTCATCATATTCTCTTGCTATCTTACTCAGTGCTGCCTTTCCAAAGTCCTCGATACAACACTTAGGAGCTCTGGGGCGGCCTGGTGGGCAGCCTGTCCAGAGTCCACCCACACCGGCTCCCCAGGCCCAGTGGGGCTCAAGCTTGCCTGCTGGGCCTGGGTGGAAGTCCTGCCAGGGAGTTAGGAAATCTGACGTGTGGCTCGTAAGCCAGTTTACATTGTACAATTAATGTCACCTGCTGAATTTCTGAAAGCCCACAGCCCTCCCTGCCACACTGACTGATGCAGTGGTTCTCAAAAGCTGTCATTTTCATAAATCACTTTGTGATCTGCTCCTGAACACCCCAGCTCTGGGGCCTTCGAGCTGGCTCCTCACTGTGCTTAAAATGTCCTGCCCTGGACCCAGGCAGGGCCGATTTCCTTCTCACCCTGAAAACCTCACCTCATCTACCTACCTGGCCTGCTGATCTCTGTCACTGTTGCTAGGAAACATTTAATCACAGGCTTCCTGGGCAGCGGGCTGAGGAAGGCAGGGTCTGGACCAGTCTGGGGCCCTTGGTGATTTCTCCGGTGCACCAAGGGCGGGTGTCAGCCCTCTGATGCAATGGCACCAAAGGCAGAGGTAAGAAAGATGCCAGTGAGGGACTCGAAGCCACGCCAGAGTGAGAAGCCTCCATATTTTTGGTTCTCTTTCTGCCTTGCCTTTCCTGAGCTCCAGGAAGCTGTGATCCCAGCTCTACCTTGGAGTTGATCGCAGGGGCCAGCATGGGAAGGAAGAGTCCTTAGTCAGATCTGGTGGACAGAAGCCCTCTGGGTGCACCCCCTTTGCCTTGGACAAAACACCGGGGGTTAAAATATTGCGTTAGCACTGATCTGTATTCGCGGTGCACAGATTATTCCATGACTGTGTAAACTTGAATGTGTAATTTTCATTTTAAGTCAGAAAGCGCTAGAATTTTAAATAGGAGCCCCAAAATGAAGAATCTTCTCTACCAAACTAGTGTGTCATCTGATTTAATGGAAATTACTGTTCATATCAAACCTGTACTCCAAGCAGCTGATAAAATAAATCACCTTAAAGCCCTTGACAAGCCACAGCTCTCCCGTCCAGCTGATAAATTAGTTTTGTAGACACATAAAGGACTGGGGAAGTAAGTGGAAAATTCACCACAAAGGCGAGGCCTTCTGCTGTCCCACAGTGTAGAATATTCCCAAGAACAACAATCTGAAGGAACCGGTCTGCAAGGGTTTGCAAACAATTGTGGAGCAGGGACTTTCTCGCTAAATGTTCATGGTTAAGAAACAGAATTGAAAGCACTCTGAACTCTATAGGCCTATGGGGAAAAGGTCGGCTACTGTTACAACACAGGACCTGAAGTTCTGTAAATTTAATGTAACTGCTTCTGAGGATGCTTAAGTAGAACTGTGAAAGGGAATAAATGAAAGGTGAAATTGCATGATCTTCACTGTGTTCATCTGTGAAGGTTGGGGTCACCGTAGTCTAGGGAAGACACTGGTGGTCATCACAATGGCAGCCTCTCTACTGAGATTTGTTTTTCTCTGTTATGTCTCCTGTACACCGTGTACCTGTTTCGGGTATGTTCATAATTAATACCACCAAATAATATGTGATGCAAGGACTCGTTTATTCTAGCGATGGATTTTGTTTTAGTGACTTCAGGCATTTCAGGGTACGATAGAGAATGCTCCAGTGAGCTCCACGCTCCATGTACACGCATGACGCCTGTACACAGCCTCTTGTTCAGCAGAAAGCAGGTCATGGTGAAAGCATATTCACAAATGGGGAGATCTGGAGACCCCGGCTCCTTGGTGGTGATAAACTATCTTGACTCTTGGAAGTAATGATCTAGGAAAGGGCTTAGACAGCCTTCCGTGAATATCATTTGTGATGGTCAGAATCAACCCTTCTCTAATTTCAGATCCAGGACAAAGGGCAGATTTCATTAGATATTATACTATGGCACACATCCTGTTGGCACACTTCCCTGGCAGAGCCTCGCTTGTCATGGTTTAGAGAATTATACAAAGTCTGACAAAATAAATTCCTACTCTGATTATATCTTATTTTTATGCAGTCATACATGGAAGATGTTAGAAATGGTGGCTTTTTACAAAATGTCACATGCTTGGAAAAAATGAGCATTTGTTGTAACACCTAGTGTTGAATATAAAGTCACTACCAAAATTTTATTGACTTTAAGCTCTCCCAGATTATATAATTTTGCAGGAATTCCAAAAGGCAGATTATGTCGCAGTATTCTAATATGAAGTGTGAAAATTGTTTGTTTTCCAATACTTAGCTAACTGATTAACACAAGCCCATAAAACTGAATTGCTTTCCAACTGCTTAAAATAGAACTATAAACTCAAGTGTTTGGTCAGCTGGTTAATATAAAGTCATGAGACTCTGACATCTTTAATGTCTTCGGCATCTTAACACATTGTCAGATCAGCTCTTACTTAAAAATCTAGCCTGTTAATTTCTAGCTATATAATAATCAATCTTCACTTAACTTTAAGAATCTTATACAACTTAAACAACAGACCTAGTCATCAAATATGTATTATTCCTTTATATAAAAACTAAACAAAACAAGAAAATACCCAAAATTAGGACCATAAGTTTCACTGGACATCTTTAAAGTTCTGGCTAATGTCCTGAGGAATTAAGGTTGTTGAAACATACTCACTCTTCTGATAAATGTCCATCATATTTGATCATAAATACCGAGGCAAGCAAGTAGGTTTGTTTTTATCCAGTTTTCATAGACTGGCTATTATGGAATTTTGTCTTTTTCTGTTTTTCTTTTTACATGTTAGGGAGCATACTTCTGTAGTCATTATGTGTGTGTGTCTGTGTGTGCATAATGTAACTAATAAGTATATCTATACTTATTACATATCTCTGTAAGTAATCTTGTGAGAAGTCTCCAAATTACTTTAATAGATTGTAATACCTTACATCTCCATCAAATAGGTATAGGCCATGTGTGATAGCTCATGCCTATAATATCAGTCCTAGAGAGGCTGAGGCAGGAGGAGCACTATTAGTTTGAGGGGAGCGTAGTCTACATTGTGAGTTCAAGGCCAGCCTGAGCTACACAGGAAGATTCTGTCACAAGAAACCAAAAATCCACTTAGGTGAAAAACTAAAGGGAAAGCAATATATCAGAAATCAATTACCGCAACAATGGTAACAAAATCTCACTTTTCTAAGAGCTAACAGGATGCCCAGGAGAGTCCATATGGCTGTGGTCCAGTTTGCTAACAAATGCTTTGGTTCCCCAAGTAACAGCAGGGGGTTGGGCACTGGATAAATACTCAGTGTTCCTTCCACCTATGTCTCCTTTGCCATTTTGCACAGAAAAAGTTACAGATCAAGTGAGTTATATAGATAAGATTAAAACATCCCATCTAAGCCAGGCTTCTGAAGCCACCTTATCAATATGAATAAAGACAGGGATCTCTGTGCTCCCTGCTTGGAGAAAACACTAAGCTAACAGAAGTCAGCTAATAGACGTCCTTGCAGGCTGCAAAGATGAAACCCCATGAGGGAGGTGGCGGCAGCTACGAGGGCTGAGCAGGTGTGCACATGGATTTCATCTCAGAGCTTATGCAGTTTTTCAGTTTGGGAAAAGCCATCTGAGAGCATGGTGTTGTAGAAAATAAATATGGAGAGAGTTATGAAATTCCTCTTTCGTTTTCCTTAGGAACTAAAGTCTTCTATAAAGTCCATGCCTTTGAATTGCTGAATTTTTGATAATTCTTTCTTTGTTTCAGTTTACTAGGGACCCCCTGCCAAACACCAGACAACATAAAACTATTCATGCAGAGAAAAAAGCATTATTTTCTCTGGGGTGACATACTTGGTGCCATGCAGGACATCTAAGTAGTTATTCAAAATCATCTTAAAAGAGAATTTTTTTAAAATATTTGAATATGATGTTGAAAAAATAAATGTGATTAAAATAAGAAAATATTCATCAGGAAGGAGGGAAGGACATCCTGGGAAAAGCAAGCAAGGCGAACTGTAACAGGGTAAATGCACGTCCTGCCCAGCCGAGAAAACGTCACCAAGGTGATCTGGTCTCAGCCTCCTATAGCAAGGGGGCCTTTTCTATCCCAGAAACAGATGGGAGGCTGTCGCAACGCTAATACCTCATCCCTTCTGTCACCTTTGTCCTGGTCCCGTGATTAATGCCGTAATCACAGCAGTCTATTTCTTTGCAACAAATAAAAGTGACCCAGAATTTATTAGTCATCAGATGGAAACAGGCGCACCTGTAATCTAGAAGGTGCACACTATCTTCCTCAAGAGAATGTCCAAACCCTCTCAGAAACGTGCAAGTTTGACATTTCTGTCCATTCCCTACTGGATAATGTAAAAAAAGCTCCAGTCTGACCTTTGGCAAGAGGGGCAAGCTCCACCGTGAAGATAACTCAGTCCATTAGGGAGGACTCGCCCTGCTGGGCCCTGGTACTACTTGGAACCTCAGGTCCAAGTAAACAGATTTCTATCTCAGGAGTTAATGACGGACACAGCACCACACTTACCCACAGGGCCCCGTGTGCCGGGAACACGGCAGCCAGGACAACAGCTAGTAAATTAACAAGCCTTGAACAAATTGCTGAAGATTCCACATAAAAAATAAGAAATATATCTCCATTATAAATTCATAGAGAGGTTTAAATGAGTTCCTTGATGTCAAAGTCTTATTGTAAGTTTGGCAAATAGTAAGCTCTTAAGTATGTTACACTAAACCCATTACAATAGGTGACATAAGAGTTTAAAAAGGGGGAAAAAAACACCATGATCTGAATTGTTTCCATTTCTCACATTTTCTGATACATAGTGATTTCAATTAAGGCCAGATGAACCTGTATTATGAAAAGTCTAAAAAGAAAGAAACACAAGGTTGTTTTCACATGTTAACAAAATATTTGACTAAAAATTTAGAATCTGATAAGAATGCATACCTAGTAACTTGTTTCCATAAGAATGTAAACTGTTAAAAAATGCATTGGTTTATTTTCACATAATGCAATCTTAAAGACAAGTATATGTTTCTTTTCTTCACTTACTTTGCAAGCCTGTGGCTGCAGAGGGCTTTGTGAGCAGTGTATGTAGTATTCTTTATTGACACTAAATGTGCTTTTCCAAACCACGTAACTATTGAAATATTAGCCTGTATTATCAATATCATAAGAAGTTTTTCTTTTAATCTACTACAAAATGAAGGACTCTAGCATCGTTGCTACAAAACCAAACTTCTAGAGACCAGGAGATCCCTGCAATGAAATGATTTGTGGAGCTACACAAACTCTAGCCAAGAAAAAGAACTAGAGCTGGGACAAATCTCCCAAGCCACCAGCCTGGCGAGCCAGCATCTGCAAAGGTATTCACCGAGCCTCTGAAGCCGAGGTATCTCACCATGAAGATTCAGGGGAAAGGAAACATAAATCGCACTGAACCTACATGGACTAGTGATGGGGCATACATGGGCAGTGCAGTGGGCAAGGGTGCGGGCAGGAGGAGCGTGAGGAGGACCGCGTGTCTTCATTTGGTTGGATGGGTATAACCAAAATGCAGTCACGCCGCTGGCCGCTCCACTGTGGGCCCAGTCGAGGGTTTCATCGTGGGCTCAGGAGGCTGTGAGGGGTTTTACTAGATGCTTGGGTTGGTTTGGCCCAAAGCTGTTGGTAGTACTGATTCCCAACTAATATTCCCTCCAGCCTGCACATAGATTTAGGATGTCTGACTTTGCTCTCATATATACATATATATGAGAGAAATTATGTGCTTCCTGTGTGTATGTACACACACGGAGAATATAATTGCATTTCTGCACACTGCTCTCTCCTGGGTCACACTGGAATCGCGAAGCCCAGTGTGCTGTATTGTGCTTGTCTTTACTATCTCAGGCTGGGTGATGCTCGCTCATCACCTCGGGGACAGTCACCACCCTTGAGCTCTGCATAGCTTGGCTGTTTCCTGATATTCAGCATCCTGGCCTTTGCACTGCTGCCCGAGCCCTGCAGCTTATTATTTACTCCCGGTTTTTGCTTTAGTCACCCTATCTTTTGGACTCAGATCAAAGCGACTTAACAGCAAACAGTGTCAGCTCCCTTCCTAAGATGTCCCCCTGCCCGACTGCTGCCTAGAAGTCTGGATTTCTCATGGAACAGACACCACGCTGACCCCTGCCGCAGCTTCCTGCCACACTGACCCTCTCCTGCGAGCCTGAAACGCTCTTCCCCAACCCTGGCCAAGCTCAGTCCCTCATCTGTCCTCTCGGACCATCCCCAATGAGCCCACATCACACATTCTCTTCCTCCCTTCCCCCCTCTGTTCCATACGGCTGTCTCAAATCTGTGCCCAGCACAGCCACACAAGTAAACCAACAGCACACCCACCAAATGGAAGTGCCTTGAGCCCTGGTGAATAAGAGGAACCAGCGCTCGATAAACATTTGCCGAGTGAGGGAGTCGAGATGCCTGTGCGGTCACGTAACTCAGTCGTTCTACCGTGATGGCCACGTTTCTGAGATTATTCTCCCGAACATGGTGTGTCCCCTCTTGCCTTGATGTCTCTTCCATATGTGCTTTGTAAAATTGTCCCTGCCTGTCCATTAGCCTGAAATCTACTCATTTATTTACAGATGGTCACACATGACCATTATAGGTCAGGCCTGGTGCTGGACACTGGAAATAAAGGAGTCAGCAGGACAGAGTGCCTTCTTCTGGAGACCTGTCCTCTAGCAGGGGTTGAAGAGATAGGAGACACGTAAAAGATTTTTAAAACTGACTTGTTTGTATGCTGCCTCCAGGAAAGTGAGCAACTGCACTGAGAATACTGGGAAATTAGGAGAGACACGCTGAGCAAGGACTTTAGGACAGGTCTTTTGTGATGACCTTGACACTAAGATCTGAAAGCTGAGAAAGAAGCAGTCCTGGGAGGAAGAGACTGCAGTGCGGGAAAGGGAGATAGCTCTGCAGAAGTCCTGGGGCAGCCAAAGTTCTGCTGAGACTGAAGGAGCTCACAGAACAGGAACTGGCGAGCCAGTGCTCAGGAGACAGGCAGCACGTGGGGCACCGGCACACCCACAGCTCCTGAGAGCCGCAGGCTGTGCTTTGTCAGAGGGAAAGAAAACTCATCTTAAGTTGCAAGTAGAAAACTGGTCAACAAGGCTTTCTTCAGCTCACTAGAACACTACACTGAGTACAGTAAGGCAAACTACTGCGTTCTGTGATGGTGTTTTGGGGCTGTAAAGGTAGAAATGAGGAACAGGACTCTCTGGAGGGGCCTGCAGAGGAAGGCTGGACCAGGGAGGCCTGGGGCAGAGCCACGCCGCTCTGGAGATGGCGCTGAGGCTCTCGGTACTCGGGGATAAGAGGGTGCTAAAGGAACTGCCCACTAGGGTTTTCAGGGCTCCGTCCACGGCTGCCTTCTGCTGAAACGCTACAGTAGAGGGCAGGTGAGCTTTTAGATTGGAGTAAGTTTCAGGATCCCTAGGGCTGGCGTAAACTTTCCACATTTCATCTTGGCTATCATAATACTTACTACAGAATCTTATAATAACCCACTTGCTTTTCTGTCTGCCAGGCAGCAGCAGTCTGTTTAAAGACATACCCAATCCTTTCACCTTTACGTAAGCAAACATAGCCCGATACAGATAGCATCTACATAGGAGGCAAAGAATCACTGTTTGGATCAATCAGTGAACCTAGGATGAGCCAAGAGAACAGGCAAGGATCACAGCTCTTCTAGGATACCCAACGGCAGAGGCTTCCGATCTTCTCCAAGCTCCTCTTCATCCTAGCGAAGATGTGTGAATTCTGATCAGAAGCTTCCAAGCCTGGCACATTTTTTTTTACTCGAATGCTAACCTGCTTCCAATTTTCAAGTTGCCCATAGCCAGTGTGGAAGTATTTTACTCTACTCTGTATAAAGGTACTTTTTTAAAAAGACAAAATGTCTGTTTTTTCTGTAGTCCTTGAATTGCAAGTTGGCAGCACAATTTACAATCAATAGAAAGCGAAAGAATGTCCCTTGCAGACATAGGAACACCCTGGTATGATTTTTCACGTTAACCTTCATGCAGATTTTGGAGGATCTTTGTGAGATTTTGTTTGATTTTTTTAGAATGTTCGATGTGGGCGGGCAGAGGTCAGAGAGGAAGAAGTGGATTCACTGCTTTGAAGGGGTCACGTGCATCATATTCTGCGCCGCACTCAGCGCCTATGACATGGTCCTGGTGGAAGATGAGGAAGTGGTAAGTCCAGCGGCCAGGGGAGGCTGCGGCCAGTGCACTGCCAGGTGCAGGAGTGTGCCAGGGCCCCCGAAGCTGGGTGGGCACTGGGCTGCGCTGGTGATGCCGGAGTCTTGGGCTGCGTGAACTCACTCATGCTGCATGTGCTCACCCTTTCTGTCCCACAGAACAGGATGCACGAAAGCCTTCACCTGTTCAACAGCATCTGTAACCACAAGTACTTCGCCTCCACCTCCATCGTCCTCTTTCTCAACAAAAAGGATCTCTTCCAAGAGAAAGTGAACAAGGTGCATCTCAGCATCTGCTTTCCAGAGTACACTGGTGAGAGCCTTTGATTCCATAATAACAAATCATTATTAAGACACATGCTCCTGCTTGCCTCTGACCTGCACATCCCTGCGGGTGACTCCTGGGTCCAGAGTGCAAATATGTTCACTGCCCACACTGAAGAGATCCTTACAAGTAAGGAGCGATCTCCCTCATATATATTACAGAATACAAGTCCCCACTGAACAGCTGCAAAAGCTTACATAGGCGAGAGTTTCTCCTCCAAGGAAGGCATCAAGGGACATTACAAAGTGTATCGCCTCTGACGTTGTGACAGGGATGTAACTTTTATTTCAGATAGGCATTTTTGTGCGCATCCTAATGAAAATTTATAATGCTCTACTCGACCTCAATGCCTTTCCCGAGTCTGAATTGCTACAGAACGGCAGAACGAACAAGTTCAAGAGCAGGGCTGTAATATCTTCACTGTCTCATCTCACTAGGTCCTAGAATTTCAGTGTCAACCCTGTTAGAAAGGATCAAGGTCCATAGAAGTGCTTTTTTCCTTCAGTGACAAAGTTTTATTCATACAGAGTTGGATGCTATGTCATTAATGCAGTTATGTAAGATTGAAACAAAACTATACAGCCACCCTCATCTCCTGGTGTGTGGGACAGCCCCGATGTACAAGGAACACGATATGCCTTCAAAAATAGATGTCAGTGCTGGCTAATCTAGAATCAGTGCTTATGTCATCATCATATAATTATAAATTTACTTTTGTGCTTACACATTTATCATGTGACTTAGTACAAGTATGATTCTAAATTTAATATTATAAACTAAGTGTATGCATCTAAGTCACACATGTAAACTTATCTACATCTGTTTAAAAGTAGAGTTCCTTAGAGAAGCTGTTAGTTTGAAAAGAAGTGAACTTTTGGAACACAACATACCAGGAGTTCCCACATACATCTGCTCCCTTCCCTGCACGCGGCCACTAACGTCTCTCACCATCAGGGTATAATTGACTGACATCAGCATATTATTAACCAGAGTCCAAAGTTGATCAGGCTTCAGCTCGTGCCTGCCCACTCCCATGTGTTTTGCCAACGGCATGTCATGTCACTTACTCACCTAGGTAGATCAGTTGTCTATTACTACAACAGATACTTAGATACGGCAACTTGTAAAGAGAAAGGGATCTTTTGCTCAGTTTTGGGAATTTCAATCATGATCACTGATCTTGCTGCCCTTGGGGGGGGGGGTGGCCAGTAGCCCATCGTGGCAAGAACATGTGGTAGAAGAAGCCTGTTCACCTGGCAGCCAAAGTAAAGGACAAGGAGGGAGGAACCAGGGCCCCACAGTCCCTGATGCCCCGAAGACCTGTTAGAATTTCCACTGCCTCCCACGGGCACCAAGCTGGGGGCTGAACCTTTAACATATGGGCCTTTGAGGATGTTTCAGATCCAAGCAAGCAGCAAGTGAGGGACACTACACTGGCATGCCGGCTGCCCCGGAGGCCCTGCCCTGGACGCTGTGCATTTCTGTGTTCTGCTCCCCTTTCTGGGGACCGCTGCTGTTTGTACAGCTTTGGCTTAGCACGATGCACATAGCTGCAACCCCCTAGTGCAGTATTAGCACCTTCTGACTTTTTTCTCTTCCACTTAAGTTCTCTGTGTCCTTTTTCCTTTCTTTTCCTTTTTGGTGAATTGGTAATGCATTTCTTTTTATTACTGAACAGTATTACATTCCATAAACAAACTACAGTTTGTTTATCTTTTTACCTATTGAGAGACATCTTGGTTGCTTCCATCTTTCAGCAATAATTCTTAAAAGCTGCTATCAACATCCATGTGCAGGCTTTTGGGCAGATGTAAGTTTCCAGGTAAACATCTAGCAGCACCATAAACACAGTAAGAGTGCCTGCTACTGTCTAGAAAGCTGCAGAGCTGCCTTCAAAGTGGCAGTTCCATTTTACAGTCCCAAGAGCAACTAGTGAGACTCCTGTGATTCTATGCTCTGAGAAGTTTGATTTTCCCAGTGTTTTGAATTTTCGCCATGTTATGTTTTGCTTTCACTTTTTAACATTTCTTCAGGGCTGGCGGATGAACACAAGCTGGGTTCATGCTAGGCATACGCTCCACCTCTGAGCCAGCTCTCCAGCCAGTCCTGCCTTGTGGTTTTGAGACTTTCTCATAGAATTTACTCCTAGTAACTATAAATTGAGGGCAAAAAAGCCTTACCTCCTTGGATAAATTTTATGGTTGCTCCTGCGTCAAATGCTCCTGAAGCACATCCTATTATAAAGCCAGTCACTGGGTCACTGTCAGCTGCCTCATATTTGTTATCGTACCTGTTTTATTTCCCTTTTTCTCAGTTGGACCGCTGTGCATTCTGCCACTGGATGGTCTCAAGCACAAATTTTTCACTGCATTATGGTTCTGCTAACTCCTCAGTCAGGAACTTCCCTGCCTCCCCTCCTCAGCGCTGGTCTGTGCAGTCAACATCACAGTCTACAGGCTGCCCGAGTCCATCCGTTCTATTTGCTCCTACAGTTCATCTACAGCTGTCATTCCTCCCTGACCAGCCACTCCCAGCCTATGAGATAGGTCATTCTCCCCTTCCTAGTTTTTGTCCTCTTCCTTCTAAACTATCTCCAGGGGCAGTTTAAACACTGCCTCTATCAGCTGTTGGCCATTTACAATTTCCACGGTTTCTCTTTCCCTTAGTATCATATGCATGCACACACACAGCGACATAAACAGGGCCTCATAAGCACATGCATTTGTCTTAGTCCCTAGCTATGTAAATCTTTTGGTACCTCTATGTCTTCAGAGTGGTCTGAGGCAGAGGTGAATTTTAGACTCAACCCAACACATTGCATCGCTGCCTGATAATTGATCTTTGCCATTTGATTTTGCAGTAGTTGGTGCTTTAAATATCAGCATGCAAAATCAAATCATCAAACTTACCGATAATGTTTATACAATAGTTCTACTGTTTGTAGCATGCAATTAATGTTTGCTCCTTAAAAACTTTGTTAACAAGGTCCGAATACCTTTGAAGATGCCAGCAACTACATCAAGAACCAGTTTCTGGACCTGAATTTGAAGAAAGAAGACAAGGAGATTTATTGTCACATGACCTGTGCAACAGACACCCAAAATGTCAAGTTTGTGTTTGATGCAGTTACGGATATAATCATCAAAGAGAACCTGAAAGATTGTGGTCTTTTCTAACGAATCCTTTCCTTTTCTACTTGTGCTCTCATGATCTTTTCAAGATAGAAAGGAAAGGGTGCTACGGGATTAGTTTGAATCGATATTAGCTTATCTAAAAATATAACTTGCATTTTAAAAAGGTCCCACCGAAATGTTGATGTTACATCACTCCTAGCCAAATAAGCTTCAATCTCTCAGTCTCGTGGAGCACAGGGTCTTTGCTCTCATCAAATCTAAACACTGACATGTCTTGGTAACTGGAACAGCAGATGTCAGTGATACCGAGTTCTCTGGGAAGTAAACTTCTGTAAGTGGGTTATTTTTCATCATAGATTCATGAAAAAGTGAATATTCCATATAATTTCCATGAACTAGATTTTAAGAGGCACTCAGTTTGACTGATGAGGCAGCCAGGCCTGTACTGCACAGACTGCTCATGTGGTCTGAGCATTTTATCATCCGCTTAGCTGCTGCAAATGGAAAATTCACTGCACATACTCCTGTTGGAGGAAAGTTACACGTCCAGGATAAGTATGCTGACTTTACCTGCTAAATGCTTAAAAACTTTTAAAGACAAACTTACTTTTGGAGGTGAAAATTAAATAACACACTTCTTTCCAACAGTCTTGGTAGAAGGCAGGAGAAAGGATAAGGCTAAATGCACAGTGTCAGGCTCTGGTGACCACCTGGACGACAGTCTTCAGAGAGAAGGAAAGCCCCACTTTTTATTCTGCAGTGGTGTGGAACATTAGTAATCAGGAATAAGCAAATAGGGGATTTTTAGAGGATAACTTTCAGCTTCTGTACTTGTACTTTGTGATATATACATATTTGAGTGGTTACTAAGGATCATGGTACTTCTAAATATTATACTTGATTCTACTAGGCTTACTTTTGTAAGGCTAAATTGTTACTTTATGAACTAATTCATATTATTTATGGAGACAAGAGATGATTTGTGTGTGCGGTGACTTTTTGTTTGTTTGTTTTGTTTTTTCCAAGTGTCAGCTATTTCCAAGGCACACCCCAAGGCGTGGCTTCCTACCATCTTTTCTTCTACCCTGATGGGAGGTCGTACATAAGTCGGACTATTAGATCAGTGCATGCTATTTGTAATGATTCTGAAGAGAAATGTAATTAGATTTTTACAAGCTAAGAGAGATGTAGGGAACCTAAGGAGCAATTTGCCAATCTGCTGTCCTGTGGATATCGGTGGCCCCGCCCCTGTGACACCTTCCTTGTGTGTAACACATTTCCATTCAGGACAGGAAAGGACGATCATTGCTCAATAAATAATTTTGACTAGAATGCCTGTGACTCCTTTCCCCCAAAAAATTACAAAAAAGTTTTAAAAATACAATAAAATGAAGAATAAATTATATTTAAAATTTAATTTTAAATTCCTTTGTAGAACATAAGTTATTAAAGAGACTAAGACACCAAGCACAGAAACACATGAGGGATCATTGGGTTCAGGCTTCTAAAGAAGCTGTGTGGCCCAGCAGGTCTTTCTAGGGGTGCAGGTCGGGGTTTTGTTAGGTGACACAGAAAGCTGTGAGATTTTAAACTGAGATGCCGTGGACTGTCCAGTCCCCCACTGGGCAGTTATTTTGACTGTTTGCTTTATGCCTGCTGAGGACTGAAGGCAAGTGAGCTCTTGACCCCCAAGATACACCACTGGTCTCACACCTTGCTTGACATTTTGCTCCTACGCACTATAATCTGTTTTGATTTTTAATTTTTTCCATAAGTGATAAAAAAGCATATTATTTGAAACAGCAAGGGTGGGGTCCAAATGGCTAAATTCACCTTAGGAAAAAACCCACATAATTCATTTTGCAAATTGCACCAAGTGTATATGGCAAGCCTGTGTGCACATTATGAAATGCTATTCTATACATGAGGATTTTAGAAACTACATCAAATGGTCAAACCAAAAACAGAAGCCAATTTAGATTCTTTAAGGATATTTTTAATCTGAAGAGTCAACATAAAAACATCTTTTCTTCAGGATCAAAGATATTGCCCTGCTAAACAACAAATTTTAGTTAAGGAGAGAAAGCAATAAAGACTTTTTATTTATGTTATAATTGAAATCTTTAAAACTTAATTTTTTGTTTTTCTTTTTAAACTTTTACTGTGAAGTTGGGAGAGGCACCACGGTTTGATCTAACGAAAGACAGTAACAATGAAAATATGGGAAGCTTTGCTTTCAGCTGAAGAAACTCCCAATATGAGCAACAGCATTAAAACAGGTTAAATTCAAATGCCTGCTTTAACTGAAAATTCAGGTTTCTGATGGAGCGTCAATGCCTTGACTTCAGACTCCCAAAGGCGTTGCAGTAGAGCTCAGTGGTCCAGTGCTTGCCCAGCACACACAGAGTTCGGGGTTCAGTCCCCAGCACCATATACAGATGAATGGACAGGCAGACGTACAGCCGTCAGACAGACAGATTAAAAAGCATCCTACATAGAAAATTTTAGTTCTGAGTTGCTCAATCACATGTTGAAACAAATGAAAGACATTCAGACAAATAAAAATGCTGCTCAAACATAAAGCAGTTTCCCCTTCTGCTGCTGGAGGTTCCTCTCGCAAACTCGGTGTACTCCGGTCCGTGGCCTTACACTGTCGTGCCCTGGTCAGGTTTCCCTAGACTTTCAACACACCCAGCTCATTCGCAGCTCAGGTTCGTCTGGTTTTGTCATTCAGAGACCTGATGGAGACCTAGATCCAGCAAGGTCATCAACAAGCAGTCTTTGCAGAGTTTTGGTAAAAGCATAAATGGGTCAGTGGTTGAGACTTTGAACCCTGGGACTAATCACTAGAGAGATAAGCGGAGAGGGCTATTAACTGAGCCACAATACCTTGGCATCGAAATATGAAAGCTATGAACTTTAAGAAGCTCTATGAAAAGTGAGTTTCAAATAATGTGGAATCTCTAATATTTACCATAAATGTCTAATATGCTATGGATTAACAAAATCTGTAAATACTAAATTTTCATACACATCATATAAGTAAGCAAACAAGTTTTATACCCCAGATCTGTTTTACTACAGGTATTTTTACTGGATCTATCATCCTATATAACCACAAACTGTGTTTTTGGATACTTCCAGAGAATAACTCAAGGTTGCCTTAGCCAAATGCTATGAACTTGAGGAAAAATAAATCTTCTTCTTTGATTTGTATGTGTGTAGCCCTTTAGAATCAGAAGTAGACCGGCAGCTTGAAATGTATGACTGCTACACATAGAGTATATGTAAGCATCGTGGAAGAAATTTATAACTTACACTCATATTTTAAAATAGGAGACAATCCTCTGTCGTGGATGGAGTAAATCTCACTAATTTAATCAGAGTTCTTGCTCTCTGAATGCTTTTTCTGAGTCTCTTACAAGCTTATTTGCAGCCACGTGGGGGCACACTTACATCATGTATTTTTTAACCCAAATATTGCAAACATAAATTTAGATTACCAACAAATTTTAAAAAACAGATAGCAAATTCCAATTAAGAACAAGTGCATTTTGTGCCTTTAGCTTCATTGTGCACAATATCTCCTGATGATCGTGGTGTGCAATAGCTGAGTCAAATTCACGAGTAGCAAATCTACTGAATCAGCTCCAATCGTGTGGTGTTGTGTAGATGTATAATCTGTTCCCATGATCTTGCTATATTTTTTGTCATTTTCGAGCTGTTGTTTAAAACTAAACAACCACTAGTTTTGTGATGCATGCTTTTCCTTTAATCTGTATTATGTTTCAAATACTGATTAGGTCTCAGTGGAGAGGAAAAATAATTTGAAGACTGACAACTACTCGGTTTGCAAGTTGTAATCAATGAGCTGCTTATTAATGTGTCTTTCCAGCAAATCAAAGTAAAATTCCATGATGCTAAAGCATGAACTATCTCATTATTCTTCTCATTACAACCTCCTTAAATCCTGCTCCATCCGATCAGGAGGGAAATGGGGCTCTGTGACAGTTCCCTACAATGACTGCTCCTGCCAACACGGTTTGTATTAGTAATAGCACATTTTTTATTTTAAGCTACATTTGTCACACTAGTTAAGCAATAAATAGAGTCACATAAAAAGAAAAAGAAATAAAAAGACTCTTAACTTACTCCAGAAGGATAGGAATGGCCCTTCAATTCTTATACTTTCCACATAAGGAATAATATATGAGACAAGTAGGAAAAGCCATTCTTTTATTTGAAAAACATTCATGCTGCTCATGCTTAAATTAATCCAGCACACACAAGAGATTGGAAAACAGTTTTCAATGCATAGAGCTGTGAGTTTTATCTCCTGAAAGTGAAAAACTAGCCAACTATTATGTCGCATTGCAGTATCAAGACCAAATATCAAGAATATTTATATTTTAATGCATTAAAAGCCTCTCAATGGAGCACTAGTATTATAAACTTTACCATACAATGAATCCACCCAGAAAGCCAGAAAAACCCATCACCTGTACTGCAATTACCTCATTCAATTAAAAATCTGTATATTTTATTACCCTTAAAAAGACTGGCACAGAAGTGCACATTTAGATAAAATGCAAAGAATGTGAGGTAATTTACTTCCAAAGAAACATTTGCACTTCCTTTGGAATTCAAGTCAGGGGCTCTGGCAGCTCACAATGTGACCACAAATTCTTAGTCTCTCCTAGATTCAAACATCCAGCAGGGAGCACGTTTGTTCACATGTGTGACGTGCTCCCCATGGATGCCAGCAGCAGAGGCATCACCATTCGTACCCTCCAAACAGAGAAAGATGCATCGTTGCTACTACATAAAACAGAGACACAGATATTTGTTCTTGCTCACAATTCTGTTCCATGTAGATAGGAAAGAAAAGTGGTCACCGGGCTCAGGACATGCTCACTTACACACCTCGGTACTAGAGAAAACAGCAGGCAAGAGGGTTTCCGTGACCTTCTCCCTCCCTGCCCTGAAGCAGCATCAGAGAGTTCTCTGACCTTCCTCAGAAGTAGGGCCCGGAGGGGCTGACCCAGCAGGCCCAGCCAGTTCCCCTTTATCAGCCCACAGCTCCCGAGTGCAGTCATGGTCTGCATAGCTTTCTAGTCTTTATCAAGCATAAACAGAAACACGTAGTTTTCCCTGTTTCTTTGAGTCTTTGAAGCTGAAGGCTCCCACGTCACATAAAACTGGTATTCAGTAAACTGGTCTGCTCCGATTCCTGCTATTCCTTTGGTTACAGAGGTCTCAGCCACAGCCTCATGATAGGTAAGGAAAGTGTACGTTTCTCCTAGAAGACCTTCAGCCTTTTAAGCATTAACTGTGTCACTGTTTCTAGGATTCTTTTAAAACTTAACAGTAGTGGAAGCACCTGGGAAATGACATTATGAACTCTGCATGCGCAGATAATATTTTAAACACTGAGTTTCCAACAGCAAACAACTACCCAGGTTTCTCACTGTGGATCTGTGACAGTGAGTTCTCCTGAGCTATATTTTCCCGGTGCAAAGAGGTGATGAGATCACTCTAGAGAATCCAGAGCTGGGTGCTATTCCTTGACTTAAAATCCCAGTTCGAACTTCAAACCTCCGTGGGACTCGGAGCCACTGTTTATTCTAGGTGATCATTTCCTACCTCTCAGGTCCCACAGGCAAAACAAACTAAGTTTCTGAAACATGATTCATTTTGAAAACTGATAGCAGAGGAAGCTGAACTGCTACTAAAGGAGAACAGAAAGTGGAAGAGAACTTCTGTGCAGAATTTTTAATGAACGCTTGAAATGTGACGTCAATCTCTGCTAACACTGACATGTGCCACTGCTAACCCATCACCCCATCACTGAAACTTAGATTGGAATGGAGCCCCTTTATCTGCCCACCTGAACACAATAATCATTCTTGCCTACAGGGACAGGGTGAGTTTGCTAAGCAGGTGGAGCAGGTCAGAAGGCTAAGCCAGTTTAATAGTCACTGAAATGTGCTGCCAGTGGTGACTATTGTTCTAGAAAAAAAATCTCTGGAATAACTAAAAACTAAAGAGCTTTGGCTTCTGATCCAACTCTAGCCATCTCATGTCTGTGTGTAAGAGAAGATGGCTGTGCACTGTGTCAGTCTTTCCACGGAGCAGTGTACACAGACGTGCTCAAGGGCAGGTATTTCAATGCGTTGATGATTTTAATTATACCTTGCAAAACGCCTTCAGTTCAGGTGACATTTTCAGCGAGATAGCGTTTCTCAGTGGGTAGCACAGTACATAGACTCACAGTCAGAAATGACCTCTTGACCTGAGTCCTGAAACCAGAATACCAGCCAAACTTCACAACCAGTCTGCCCATGCATACAGGGGCACAAAGTGACCCATTTGGTTTCCTGACGCGTAATTATCCCATGCCTTGCACAATTCTGCCACTGTGCTTTGGCTGACAGCAGAAGTAGACATGGTATCTCCTCATGCACATCCTCCTGGAAAAGTGTTACTCTGAACAAGCACTGCCGACTCGTGGTTGATTGGTCTCTTGTTAACAAGCCTTGTGCACTGGTCAACCTGCACTGTGTACAGCAGAGACTTAGGATTCCTCTCCAGCAATTGTGCCTCTCGATATCGTGCTACTTCATCAGTTCACCTAGTTAGGCTGCCAGCAGAGAGGAGGAATGTGTGGCACCTTCTGAATGACGGCATCTCCAAAAAGTTCACAGTAAATGTCCTTTGTGCAGGAAGGATCAGCCCTTCACTGAGAGGAGAAGGCTGCTTAGCTTCCGCACTCTGGTGAGTCTCTGTTGCTACAGAGTAAAGGTGTCTGGTACCTGATATCTGATTCTGCTCCAGGATCTGACAACTGTTTATCCCTTTAGCTCAATCTCTTGCTGAGTATAAATCCAAATTCACAGGCAAACATCCTCACCCTGAAAACCCTCATCTTTCTCCTTCCTTTTTTCAGTGATTTATTAATTCAACTCAGTTTTTTTTCGTTTTTCAGAAATGCTCTCCTCACCTCCCAGGTCTACTGACCATCAATCATATGAGTTCCCTGACCATCTTGTGTTTCCTTCTCCAGTCCCCAATTTATGATTCTCCTGCCTCAGCCTCCCAGAGTGGTAGGATCACAGGGGTGGCACTACACCTAGGAATGCAACCCTTGTATTTATTTACTTATTTGTTTTATTTATTTTGTCTTTTTGAGATGGGATTTATCTATGCTGCTCAGGCTGGCCTTGAGCTCACGTTGTAGCCCAGGCTGGTCTTGAACTCACAAGCATCTTCTGCCTCAGCCTCCTGAGTGCTGGGATTATAGGCATGCAACACCATACCTAGCTGCAACCTTTGCTTTTAATTTTCCATAATATGTGTGTATATTTTCTCTTAAACTTATTAGATTTTAAAATATCGTCATACAAAAAGGCTTCTTTTACTGAGTCATATAACAATACTTAATTATGTACAACAAAATTAATTTGAAAATCAATAAATTATTGATGGAATTTGACAATTACGTTAAATAATAAAATTTGGAATGAATATTTATGTCATCAGGCTAAGAGCAAAAAGTTCAATGTATTATGTACACCAGCTTTTCAAATACAGATGAGTATTATAATCTTTTATATGAAGCCTAAAATTATATGTACATTATATCTGTGTCTGTTTCCGCATTTATGTGCACAAGATAATTTAGAGAAACCATCTTAACATCTAGTTCCCTCTGCTGTGCTTTTTCAAATTTGTAAACTGATCAAAACCAGCAGCTCTCAGAGCTTTTGTCTGCTTGATGTACAGAATGAAGTCAAGTTTCTGAATATAATCTATGATATCATCTCACATTCATGAAGACTAAAAACACTCTTGCTAATTATAATTAGAGAAATGTATGCACGTTAAATTGTGAAATGCACTATTTAGTTTATCCCCTCTTACACACAAATTAAGCTAACCTAGTTAAGATTTGTAAATTTTATATACATTCTTGAGATTTCTTTAATAAAATTTAATTTTTTTTAAGATTCAGTGGATTTCTGTTGCTCATGTTCTCAATTTGTGTGATGTTTCAGATCTATTTATCTTCCAGACAGAGTAATCGTTTGATTTTCTATTTTTAAAGAGATTTGAAAAGCAAATTTCCCCTATGCACAATGAGCAGATCAAATTATAACCAGTTCACAGTCTATCAGGCTCACACAGAGCATGAATAGTGAACATACACTATTTGATATTCTGATAATCATGGAAGCCTCCGAATGCACCATGATATCCACCTGCTGAAAACATCATTTCCTGTTTGAAAGCTTCTCTGTCTCTGTCTCTGTCTCTCTCTCTCTCTCTCTCTCTGTCTCTCTCTCTCTCTCTCTCTCTCTTTTGCTCTAAGTCTTATTGCATGAGAGATATATCTTCAAACTCAATCCCGGCAGGGTTCCAAGAGAGGTCTGCTCATATTACCTCTGTGACCGATGACAGCCAAATGCCTAGCTGGGCCATAGTATTTTACTGTTGCTCCAAATCCAGGTGACAGGCGTATTAAATGCCCACGTGCTAATTGTGACATTAATCTCCAACCATCATCTGGCTGGGGATGTTAGGACTGTATCAGAAACACAACGTGTTTCTAAATCACCTCATCAGTAACTGGTGGAAGACCTAATTTCACTGGGAATCCTGCAAGGAGTTGAGAAGGAGGAAACTGGCTGGGCCTGAGCCCCTGGTGTGTGAGGTGTATGAACAGAACACCACTAAACCACATCAGCCAGGACTCAAAAGGCTTCGTTTATTTTTGATCATGTGGCTATATGGGGATTTCTTATTCAAAGGGACTTTTCAGACTAGAAGATTTTCTCCTTTAAACTCCTGCTGTCTTGGTCCACAATGGATAGTTCGTGTACATTATGGGCTGTTTTGTTTTATACGGTAGAACA